GAACCCGGGCCGCACGCATGCCAGGCGAGCGCGCTACCGCTTGAGCCACATCCCCAGCCCTGAAATGATTTCTTGCTGTGTGTTTTTCTTAAAGCTGGGCCAGCCGGCACAAGCCTCTCCATCAAGTGGAAGACAATCTGGGAATAGCGAACGGAAACGAAAGGAACCTCGAGAAAAAGATAAAGAAAAGGAAAAGGAAAAGAATAGCTGTGTCATTTTGTAACAAGTACTAGATTCTGTTGGAATCACCTATATGTGTTGAGAAACAAGACCACATGAGGAAAGGAAGAAAAACCGATAATACCGTCTGTGCCTGATTTCCCATTGGATTTTGTTCATGTTTTTCAGGGGAAAGGTTGTTACTTTGTTACAATCAGACTTCTTGAAGTCACACAATATACTCTTTATGAGCTGGAGTTTCATGTTACAAGTTGGAAATGCTGTGTTGTCATTCATGAAGAATACTGCACTTGTAGCCAAATAAGCAAATCACAGCAAATTTTGTGTCATAGTGACATTCATAATTCATATCAGTTAGTAAGCTATTTCATCTTCTAACAATGAATGGAGGTATTTGATTTAGTTTGATTCCTTCCTGAAATCTAAGTATTAGCACAATAGTTTCTGAAATTTTTGCAACCTTAAATTATGATCTAATCCATGAGAAACCAGGGGTTTAATATGGAATTTAAAAATAAATAAATAAATAAATAACAGGAATAAATGATCCTTAATTGTATATTGAACTAATTCAGCCCTTGAACAGCTTTACCTTTCTTTAATAATGTACATTTTAGATATTAAGAACAAATAATGGAGCTTGGATTTAATTTAGATAGAAAAAAAATAAAGATTTGTATTTCTTTTCCAATAGCAAAAAAAAAAAAAAATTATATAACACTAATACTTACAACCTGTCCAAATCACATATTAATGACTTTATAGTGTTGTGAAATTTTGAGGAATTTTTAAGTCGTTAAGTAGGTAATCTGGACCATACTTACTATTTATTAACCATGTGACAAGTGAGTTTAAGGAGGAAACCACAGTGGATGCTAGGCCTTGTAAATATGAGAGTGTAGGAAAGTAGATAGTTCATTGTCTACCTTTTTTTAGAATTGCCTTGAACCTTAAATTTTAAATCATGTTTATTACTAGAAAATTAAATTATTAAAAAACCAACAAAAAAAGCACATTTCTATAAGAAGTAAAAGATAATCTCTGAGTCTAGTGAAAAGACATTAATAAAAATCAGAGTAGATAAGAGTTTAGAGGAATTTATGTAAAAGCAAGCAGACTTTTTAACTTATGAGAACCAAATAAACATAACACATAGTGTTTATAGAATTCAGAAAAAATATTTATTTAACTTTATTATGAGGCAACACATATTTTCCTGTATTTCTAGATATAGTTTGGACAACTATCCTTAATAGTCCTTTTTATATGCTTTATATTTAAAGTTTGTTTTTAGTCATTTTTGAAAAAAAAATGCTGCTGCAAATAGTATATAATTTACATTCTAAGCCTCAAAAAATGTGTTTATTTAGGAACATCATAACATGACCTGAGCATCCACTTGGAGAGTATTTCTTGTGGTTTGAGGTGACAAAATTTTGACTACAAAAAAAAGTGATCTAGAATTTTTTTTTAAAGTTATATCATTTACTTTCTCTGTGATCCAAAACCAGTTATAGAATGACTCTATATGTAAAAACTAAAATCTTATTTATGGAAGGAATTATTCTGAGGGGAAATAAATCCAGGGCCAAGCATATCTTTTACATCCTTCTATTTTGCATGTCTATTTGTGTTACATAATTTGTTATTTCTTCAGATTTCCTATTCTAGAATGATAAATCATCAGAGAACCTGTTTGGGGTATAAAACTTGGATACAAAATATTTGGTGAGTCTCTTGATTGTAACCCAGATATCTGGACATTGGTAAAGTAATCAGATATACTATAGAACTTTACATTGGCTTAAATAGGTTGGTCTTAATCTGAGTTTACTCTTGATATCATTCTGTTGGTTGAAGGAGAAAACTCAAACCTCAAAGTTTGTTCTTCTCAGAATAAATAGTAGTGACAGTGCATTATATTTTAATAAAAAAAAACTTGATAATTTACAAAAGTATATTTGAGGCATATTTTTCCATAATTATATACTTAGCTATTTATTACCCTTGAAGAATATATGTGTAGAAGTTATTTTTCTGTTGTTTGTTCCTATCTTCTTAATTTGTTCCAAAGATAATACTGCCATTCAGCATTCCCTCTAGAAGAAAAAAAAAAATCACTCAAAACCAGCAATGCTGCTATAAGTAGATGTCAATGTGTACTTACGAGAAAAATTTTTTAAAAATGCAGTGTGTTTGTTAATTCAGTCTTTTTCTATGTAATATTTACAAATCAAACTTTATTACATTCCTGGAATTCAGTTTGATATACCAATAGTAATAATGATTAAATATTTACTTTGATTACTGTGAGGGAAAATTAAATGTTCAATTCTATTAAAACAAACTTGTCAAAGAAACTGCTCTCCTTGCAAATATAACCTTAAAGGTTACAAAGAATCTAGAGCAATTGTGTCTTTCTTTTATTTTGCTCCAGGTAACAAATTATATATTCAGGCATTTCATTGCTGGTTTGCATTCAGAAGAATTTGATGTTAGTATTTTAAAGCAGTTTTTTTCCACAATATTTTTTAATACTTGAAATTGTTACATATACACTGCTACTAGAAATTAGAATTTAAACCTTTTTGATTTTAGTATTTATAGAGTAGATCATGGGCACATTTGAATCAACCAAATCACTGTTAGAGCTAGTAAAAGAGGCAGATGAATGAATGGCTGTGGTCACCATTTTTTCCTCTTGCTTTTGAAAAGAGTATTCCTTACATTTTTATTAACAATATGAGCATTTTCTTGTCAAATCCCATTGCATCAACAATGCTGTGATTTACAGTAGTTTATTGATATTTACAAGCACTCATTGCATGTGCACATGTATGTGTATTTCTGAAGCAAGACAGCTTCTCAAAGCAATTTGGGAACTTTCCCTCAAATTTTAAAATCACCATTTTAAGAATATTTACACACCTGGACTGGGAATATGGCTCTACAGACTCTCTATAGACTGGGAATATAATGTTGGAACATGCATGAGGACTGGGGTTCAATCCCCTGCACTACAACAAAAAAGGAAAAGAAAAAATATACACACACGGACATAGACTGAACAGGATAGTATAAAGCAACTAAAATTGACATGAGTTATATGCCCATCCAGTGTACTTAGGTAAAGAAACTTCCATGTTTCAAGGTCAAGTTAGTATTTGAATGAAGCAGAGATTTAAATTTAGGATTAGCTTTTGGAATGTATCTTGTTTTTATTGTCTTATATTTCTTGCACTTATCTGCTTTTCCCATATTATGTTTTGATTTCTTCCTCATACATCTTGATCTTGGTTTAACAAAGCAAGTTAATATCAGAGATTAACTGACTGAATTCAACATTAACCATTTTGTACTTACACAAAACCTTCTTAGTATTTTGTTTTCAATGAATAACAAACTAAGTTAACTTAAGAGATAAGAGATCTTGAAAGGTTAGAAGGCAAATAGTTGAGAATAGTTGTGGTCCCTACATTAATGTTGGCATATGCAGCAGATAGTTGTAAAATCCTGCTGAAGAAAAATTAAGGCAAGAATTTTCAGAATTGCCCTCAAAACATCTCATTTATTTAAATTACCTTTTAAAAAGCAGTTTTGTAGTTTTGCTTAACATTCTTATTCATTGTATCAGTTACTTTAAAATATGATGGAAAGCTTATAGGTTTTACCTATCACAGTTCTTAGGCATGCTGGAAACTTACTAATGTTTAATAAAATAATCTGAAGGCCCTAAAGACAGTCCAAAATTTTGTATTTTAAGGAACTGGATATGTAGAATTCTGGATCATTTTGTATTTAAAAATCTAACTTTTTGTCTTGCCTTGAGCAAAGTTTCTGTGCCTCAGTTTACTCTTTAAATATGTAGAGAATGCCCTTTCTCACTCACCTTCTCTCACTTTCTCACTCTCTTCTTTGTGCTTCACACTCCTGAATAAAGGGCATAGTATAAGCACAAAATATTACTTAAATTATCACAGATATTACACATCTTGGTTCTTGGATGTGCAGACTTTTTCCAATGACAAGTCCTTTTTAAAAAATACTGTCAAAATTTGTTGAATTATCTTGTCTTTGAGTATCGCATCATGTTTCCAAAATGTATTTTGCAGTTGCTTTCCTGTTCTGTAGACTAGTGTCAAAATCAAGAGTATTTGGGAACTATAAAAAGCATTTTAAAACCTATTTTTTTCCAATATTTTTCACAGATCTAAATGTTTAGATTATCTTTGCTTTTTCCTCTGTGTTATAAAATGCTGTCACATTGCTAATACATATAAAAGTTTTTTGCATGGGTGAAATTGATTTAGATCTTTCAAATACTATAATTTTAGGGATATTGAAGTTACTTGTGTTTTTTTAGTGTAATATGTGCATTTGAGAATGTGCAATTAAATTCATTCTGAAAGTGAAAATAGTAAAGAAACTCATTGGAATTTTAGAGTACTTAGTTTCTCTGATAGTTTGGTGTCTTTTGTTACTGATGTTCAACACTTCTAAAACTATTAGGAAAATATTATGAGGAATTGAAGTTATTTTTCTCAGGTAACAGTTTAAAATATACTAAATATTAAAATTAAAGGCTTCCTGAACAAAATATATTGCAAAATATAGGATGAATGTGAGGGCAAATTCATGTTGCTAGAACTTATTTTGAGGATCTATGTAAATTTTAATTCATGCATGTCTCTTAGTTAGTCTTGATGTCTTTGCCATTAGAAAATAGAATTTAATAAACTGTTATATACATATATATTTTTACATGAAGGATTCTAGTTTCTAATTTCTTCTGATCTCAAGAAAATCTTTAAAAAAAAACAAAACAGGGTAAAATTTTCAAACTCTTGCCTCAAGTTCAGCTTTGTCCTGTTGTTCTGAGAAAGGAGGAAATTTAGACTTGTCTAACTAGGAGATATTTTTTAGGGCATGGTACCATCCCAAGTAGGGTGTTAAAATACTATGACATAAATATAAAATCCAAGCTTTGAACTACAGTGGATTTAAACAATAAAAAAAGAAAATTCTACAGTAAATCTTCTACTTCACCTGATATTCTAAGAATTTCTTTAAACCAGTTAATTTGTCACTGGTAGCTTTACAAACTTTATACCCATGAGCATTGTCCTTTGAGAGACAAGGATGCCTTATAAATAAGAGGAGCGCAAATCAAAATTCTTTGGAAGGTGATCCTTTGGATAAAGTAGATATTTTACAGTTGTAAAAAGAAAATCATGAAACTGAAATGACCATTTAAATTCACAAATCAAAACCAATCCAGTTGTGCATTGTAGTTGAAGTAACTTACAAAGCAATTATAACTAATACAATGTGTTTTAAGACTGAGATTGGTATTTAATCTTTGAAGATTGTCTCAATTTTGTCAATGTTTTTGTTATTCTTTTTTACCTATTGTATGAAGTAACCATTTTTCAGAGTACATAGAATATCTTAGCTTTGTAGATTTTTTTTTAAATGGGGAATTGAAAAGTCTCCATTGTCTTTTGTTTTGCTGTTTTCCTCAATAAAATGACAACTATTGTCAAAGATCCACATATAACAAGTAAGACAATACGACAGAAGATTGGTGTATGATTACATTCATAGTAGCAAAATCGATTATCTTTGCCTATTAAACTTTAGAGGTACTCCAAAAGTCATTTCCTAATGCTAGCTCATGTGAATCTTTTCTTGAATTGTGCAGAATAATTGAATTGAAAAATATTTAAGGGAATAGCAAGTGAAATGGAATAATGACTGAAGAAAAGTTGTAATCTTGAAATATAGCAAAAAAAAGAGAAACAAGTTTTCTTCTTCCACTTTAGTGTTGGACTAATTGGGTCAAAAATTTGTTATGAAGGCCTAAGGGTATGGCAAATGGTAGAGCACTTGTCTACCATGCATAAGGCCCTGGGTACAATCTCCAGTACCTGTACCAAAAAAAAAAAAAAAAAAAATTCCCATGAGGAGCTGGTAGTAGATCAGTGGTAGAGCACTTGCCTACCAAGCAAAAGGCCCTGGGTTCATCCCTAGTATCCCCAGTACCACACACACACACACACACACACACACACACACACACAAATATATATATATAAAATTTGCTTTGACATACAGATTTTCTTTGTGCCAGCTAAAATTGGCCAGTTGAAAAAGAGTTCCTTCTCAAAGAGTTTAAATATACATATTATGTTTGAGTGCTTTTTTTCCTCCTCCTTTCCCTTTCTATCTTAACACTTTTTCTCTTTTTCTGCTTTTGAAATAATTCATCTAAGCCTGGCCCAGGGCACATACGTATAATCCCAACTAATGTGGAGGCTGAGGTAGGAGAATCACAAATTAAAGGCCTGTATGGCAATTAGCAAGACCTTGACTCAAAAAAAAGGGATGGGGATGTAGCTCAGTGGTAGAACATCCCTGGATCCAATTTCCAGCACCAATAAATAAGTAAATTTGTTTTGCTTTAATTCCAATTCAATAATAATAATAACCCTAGAAATTAATAGGAAAGAGGATCAAAATACATTGTTTGAATAAGGACATTTACCCAACTTAATGTTGAACTGATTTCTATGAAATAAATGTATTGTTTTCAATGCTAATTATGCTAAAACTACTTAACTATGTTTTAACAAGTTTAAAAACTTCCATTTTTAGATGATACTCCTAAAAAAGGCATATTGTATAGGTGGGAAAGTATAAAATATTTATGACAGAATTATTCAGTATTATTCAACATTTAATTTCATGTCTGTTGTTGTACCACAAGTGTAGTGTTGTTGTTGGATTAAAATGTTGGGTGTTTTTGTTATTATGCTTAAAACTGTAACCAGTGAATAACACCTGTAGTATTTTTTATTATAGATTATATTTTATTTCAATAAACTTTGATATTTAGACCAAACAGTCTCTGCTGTGTATATTCATCTTATTAAGCTTGGAAGAATGGGGAGAGAAAGAGCTGGATTATTGATTCGCATTTACCTGAGTTATTCCTTAGAATACTTGGACCAGTATTTGAAAAGTACAAGAGGTAGTAAATAAAGAAACAGTGGTGAACCATATAATACATAATACTTCAGGTAACTGTGAGCCTTTCAAAGACAGGGATAATATCTTTTTCATTTTAATTTTCATGGTCTTTGGCACTTAGAACTCAAATATCTGTTTAAAGGAAACTTTTAAATGCCTATATTATGTAGTTAGTTATACTTGCCTGTGCTTTACATAGTAAGATAATTAAGTAGGGTTATTAGTTTCTCCTTTTACATAAAAGTTATATAGATAGTATTCAGATCTTTAGTCCATAAGGCCCCTTCTGATTTTCCCTGGTTATCATCATGTCACCTTGTAGAGCCAATAAGAGAATAGTTAGAGAACAGAATACTTAGTAATAACTGTAGCAAGCAGAATTTTTTCTTTCCATTTTGTGCCAATCTTGTGGAGTCTACTCACTTTATATTATTCTATGAAGTAGGCATTTCATTTGTGATCTGAGACCAAGATGTTTGATCCAAGAGCCTGTACAAGCAAATTTATCTGCAAGGATTCAAATAAGTCTAGGCCATATCTATGTTCAAATTCTGATTCTGGACTTTTTAATTTGTATCTGTTTCATATTCTACAGGAATGTTCCAATGTAAGCCTACAGCTAGGTGTGATGGCATGTGACTATATTCCTGACTGCTGTGGAGGCTGAGGCAGGAGGCTCAGAAGTTCAATGCCAGACTGAGCAAATTAGCAAAACCCTATTCTCAAAACTTTAAAGTGTTGAGGATGTAGCTTAGTGGTAGAGCACCCCTGGGTTCAAACTCAGTGTCACACACAAAAGAAGAAATAAAATCCTTCTGTTATTTTTGTTAAGCTTGTATTAAATCTATAGATCAATTTGAAGATAATAATTAACATTTAATCTCAATCCAATGAATACAATTATAAATTAAATTTCATCAAAATTTAAAATGTTTGGGGTTGGATGTGGGGAGCCATTCTCACACATGACTGGGCGACTGAGGCGCTTTGGCTGTGTCGGAGCTTTCCCGGCCCTCTCCTGATGAGAGAACCCCTGTGGGGGTGTGACTGACCACTGACCCCGGGGGCCCAATCACTGACCCTCAACCTTCATTGGATGGAATTCTCCCCTGAATTTCTTGTTCCCCAATAAAAGGCTACTCCCTGGCGTGCTCTCTCTCTCTCTCTCTCCTGCTCGCCCTGAGTAATCCTTGCTGCCCTGCTGGTGGTTCGAGGTGGGAGCCAGAGAGGGCAGCCGTCTCGGACCTGGTCATAGAATAAGGTAACTGAGTCCTGTGTGTTTTATTTCCATCTCGCTGCTAACTTTTTTTTTTTTTTTTTTTTTAAAGAGAGAGAGTGAGAGAGAGAGAGAGAGAGAGAGAGAGAGAGAGAATTTTTTTTTTTTTAATATTTATTTTTTAGTTCTCGGCGGACACAACATCTTTGTTGGTATGCGGTGCTGAGGATCGAACCCGGGTCACACGCATGCCAGGCGAGCGCGCTACCGCTTGAGCCACATCCCCAGCCCCGTCGCTGCTAACTTTTATGCCAAGAACCTCATTAATGAAACCATTGCGCTGGCCGCATAGTGGAGTTGGATATAAAGATCAATAAAATGGGGGCTGGGGATGTGGCTCAAGTGGTAGCGCGCTCACCTGGCATGCGTGCGGCCTGGGTTGGATCCTCAGCACCACATACCAACAAAGATGTTGTGTCCGCCAAGAACTAAAAAAATAAATATTAAAAATTCTCTCTCTCTCTCTCTCTCTCCTCTCTCACTCTATCTTAAAAAAAAAAAAAAAAAAAAAAAAAAGATCAATAAAATGTTGGGATTGGGTAGAGCGTTGCCTGGCATATACAAGGTCCTGGGTTCAATTCCCAGCACTACACACACACACATACACACAGAAATTATAATGTTTATACTCAGTTAAGAAACTGAAAAGGCAAATTATGAACTGAAAGAAAAATTTGAAACATGTTTGTTTGAAAATGCTTTATATCAGCCTACAATGAACTCTTAAAATTAATATGAAGGAAAAACAAAAAATGGCCAAAGCGTGACAAATAAGCACATGAAAAGATGATCTGCATCTTCAGTCTTTAGTGAAATACAAACTAGATCCACAACAAAATATAACCTACCAGAATAGCTAAAAAAAAAGTTCAGTAATAACCAAGTGTCAGTTAAAATGTTAAACAACTGGAACTTTCTTACATTGCTGATGTGAATATAAAATGACACGACTACTTTGGAAAACAATTTAGCAGTTTCTTTAAAAGTTAAATAGTGTCTCATACCTATAATCTCAACTACTTGGGAGGTTGAGGCAGAAGAATCACTGAAACCCAGAAGTTTAAGGCCATCCTGAGCAACAGAAAAAAGGTAAACATTGGGGCTAGGGATGTAGTTTGGTGGGTGAATATGTGCTTAGCATGTATGAGGCCCTGGGTTCAATCCCCAGCACCTTCTCCCTCCAGAAAAAAAGAAAAGTTAAATATATACCTGCCATACAGTCCATTATTTCACTCTCATTTACCCAAGAAAAATAAAAGCATATGGGCACACAAAAGACTTACAAATTCAGAACCGTTTCATTGGAAAGAACCTTAAACTGAAAGTAACCCAAATATTCATTTCCAGGTGAATGCATGACACCAAATTGTGGTTCATCCATACAGGGTGGAGTGTTACTCATCAATTGAGCTGTCAATACTGCAACAATTGGGAGAAATCTCAAAATAAGCATGGTGAGCTCAAAAGGCCAGATAAAAATGAGTGCATTCATATGGTTCAAGTTTCATTAAATTCAAGAAAATGCAAACAAAGCTATGGGACATAAAGTAGATCAAAAAGATGTATAAGGAAGCTTTTGAAAATGAGAGGTATGTTTAATTATTATGGTTTCATCAGCATGTGTTAGTGATAATCAAAACTTATCAAAATACATTATGTAGCTTATTATATTGCAACTATACCTCAATAAAGTAATTTTAAAGACTTTTTCTAAAATTACAAGACAAACTTTTGTTTCTGACCCTGATGGAGTAACAAGGGTCATGGTTGTCCCACTACAAAGAACTAGAAGTTCGGGCAAAACACACAAAAGAATTGTTTTCAAACAATGAATACCAGAGAGTACAAAACTATTATTCCTAAGGATGAAAAAATAAGTGAAGTTAACTCTATGGTTGCTCAATCTTTTTGCTTGGAAATATTTTGCTAATGGTATGTGTAGGGGATTAAACACAGATCCCACCATGCTGAGAATGAAGAGAAATTAGAGTTCACAGGGAAGCAGTTGGGGGTTAAGAAAGTTTCACAGAGGCAGAAGCTAAGCAGAAAAAGAACCTCAAGCAAATCCCTGTTAGCCTTTGTTTAGTATTATGGGCAGTAATTGTAGGCAGATAGGGCATTGCTGGAAGAAATAGGTTTACTGGTGGTATTGAAGCCAGATTTAAAATTAGGCAGTCAGTGTAGTTAGGTAAATTGAGTCTAATATCGAGTGAAATCTACAATGGAGGCCATGTTGAGAATAAATTTCCAGAGAAGTTGAGCAACTCTTGAAATGTTAATGAAGTCCCAAGAAAAGCCCAAGACCCAAAGTGCATCCCAAAGAAATGTTAATGAACAGCCCCAGCAGATTTGAAGATAGCCCATCCCAAAGAAATGTTAATGAAGTCCTTCCTGCCCAGATTACTTCTTTGGCCCACCTGTGTCCCACCCGTGGGGCCTTCCCATCACCGAAAACTATAAAATGGAGAGACAACCGCACTTCCACAAATTCCATCTCTTGGGTCCCCTTCTTCCTCCAGAAGTCTTTTCTACTGTCCTTTAATAAACTTGTAATTTCCCACTCTGACCTTGCCTCGGCGTGCTTCTCTGGTGTTATTCTTCAATATTGGGGAAGCAAGGACTCGTCACAGGTCAACAGCGGTAACAGTATGCCTTTGGAGTCCATATTTTGTCCCCGGTGAGCAGGGTGCTATCTTACCCTGCTTCTTGAATGTCATGTCCCCAGCCACTTTCCTCTACACCCTTACACCATTATGTTCTGCCTCACTCCAGCCCAGAGCCATGAAGTTTCTCATTGTGGATTAAACCTCTGATACAGCAGCCAAGATGAACTTTTCCTCCTCTTAAATTGTTCTTGTCACTTATTTTTGTCACAGCAAAAAAAAAAAAAAAAAAGCTGACTAAAACATTCATGCCCCCAGACCTACAGGGGTATGGTGGTTGAAAGCTTAGAGAACAATAGCCAATCTAAATGAGGCCTCTGGAGCAAGGGACATTCACCCTGTCCCTGCACCTTACCCCACCCCCCACACTTTCACCCCCAGAAGACCTACTGAAGCTAATAAATTGTTTAAATAATGCAAAACTCCTCACCACTGTGCTTGACTCTTAGTGCTGCTGTGTAGCAATATGAGCATGTGGATCAATCACTATTGACTGAAACGGAAGTCACAGGACAGGCTTTCTTATTCCAAGGCAAAACTCCTGTAGCCCTCAACTAAGTCCAGGTCCCTTGGAAACAGCCTGGGAAGAAATAGAGTTGAAGGGGCTGGGGATGTGGCTCAAGCGGTAGCACGCTCCTCTGGCATGCGTGCGGCCCGGGTTCGATCCTCAGCACCACATACCAACAAAGATGTTGTGTCCGTCGAGAACTAAAAAATAAATATTAAAAATTCTCTCTCTCTCTCTCTCTCTCTCTTTAAAAAAAAAAAAAAGAAATAGAGTTGAAAAGACAGTTGCATCCCAGAAAAGCTACCCCCCCCCTTCCCAAAACTGCCTAGGTTTGCCTTATTAGTTATCACAGACAGAAACTGGAAACTCCCTCTCAGGAGAGAAAAGGCCGATCTGTAGTAGAAAATGCTTTCCATCTTCCCAGT